AGAAAGCAAGCTAGGGCTGACAATATCTGTCAGTGGTTAATTTCCTTAAGCAACCAGGGTCAAGATCGTTTATGTCTTCTGTAACAATCAGCATTCAGTTCAGTTGATAAATACAGCAGTATTTTTGGCCTCTATTTTAAGATGGGCCTCCTCACTCTATCTCTCCCCACCTATCTCTCAATCCTCTTTCATCCATCAAGAGAGACACTGAGCAAACTTCACTTTCCAAAACACTAAACATTTACGGCATAGCATTGCAACAAAACCATAACAGCCTCCTGACAAAACACAAAATGGGAATCATTTAAACAAAAGACAGGCAGCAAAACAGCAACTAATTAACTAGAGAAGGAAGAAACCATTTTTTATTCTTTTGTAGAAGAGCAGCAATTTTACTGCAAGGTCAAAGCAAACTGAAAAGCTCAGATATACTGAGCTCTGGCCCAAACCAGGTGGGAGTACACCAGATCGTGACCAAAGGCTTCTCAGACCAAAAATTAACTTTGCAAGTTAAAAATGGACAGAACAGGAAAAAAGAAGTATAGGAAAATAACAGATTCCTGTTGTAGGTGACAAGCTCAGCCTATAAAAGAAAGCACAGACACCTCTGAAAACCTGCAAGACAAAAGGTTTTCTAAATTTCTGTTATCAAGAGATGCATCTGGTAGTGAGGATTTGGCAGTTTACTGAAACGAGCAGTGGATGAGAGGATAACAAGGAGAAAGCATGGGAAGAATGATCTTGCACTGGGAAATGCAAAATCAGCTTACAGAACCTATAAAGGGTATCAGTGAGAGGTGTAAGAAACCTGGTGGAATCACAGAAAGCGCTGCTCTTCTCAAAATAAAGGTTTGGGTCAGATCATAAGTGATTGAATCCAGGCTACTTAAACAACCAAGAAAACCTGAACATAGATATTAAGAGATTAACAACACTTCCTTGGTATCATGAAAACAGATATGAAAGCAACTGGTTGTCTGAAGTCTTCACTGTGGTAAAAATATGTTATCAATCCAGAAAAAAGAAGTTCACACAAGAACACCTTCCATCGGCTTTTGCTTGTATTCTACCACGGTAAAAACCTCTGGCTACTTAAAAGCAAGACCTAAGACACTATCAGGAACATGCTTCCTTCAACTGCATCCCTGATTACCCTTGTTTCTTTGAATATTTGTTTTCCTCATTCATCACCCTATCTCAGAGAAGCTTAGAGACCCAGTTTCAAACATGTGCCTTCCATGACCATGGGTAATGCAGTTTCGGATACACCAAATATTTAGCAACCAAAGTATTATTTTAGGAGAGGGAGTAGAACACTGCTTTCTAAGACATCTGTGTTTTGTTTCACAGCTGGAGGGTGTATCCATTTAGCACCAACAAAAGACAAAAAGCTGTGCCGCGATACAGATCACTGAAAGATGATGGTAACGCTTGAATACTGTCTTTGAATTAAGGAACCTTAAAGTGCACTAGTATATAACTGCAACACTGTTACTGTTCTGCTCTAGGGTATGCTATTAGAGAAGTAATGGCAGTGAAATTCAGTAACTAATACGTTCTTATTGTTCTTCTATAAAATTGACTGAAAGGGCTCATGCATGTACGCAGTTTTCATTTTAAGTGCACTATAGCTGAAAAAAACCAGATGCTGTACTTGACAATTTCTAATACAATATGCTATGATTTTGCCAGAAGAAAGTAGAGACAGTTCTTGCACCCTGGATTTCAAGAGAGGAGGAAACTCCTTGGATGCTCAATGGATGCTGAATGGATGCTACAAATACCACAGAAACATGCAACTATTAGAAGTTTCATTTTTTCCCCCTCTAGTGAAGAGGCTTAACATTTACGTCACTATCCATGGCATTAAAGGTGTCTCAGACATCAGCAACTGCCAGAGACAATGAGAAAAAAGCTCATCTTTCAGAGAATGCCACCAAGCAGAAGGAGACGACCTAGGAGACAGGGGAGAATGGAAGCAGGTTCGTGGTGGCAGGCAAGTCCCCTCCCAGCCTGCCTCACCTTCCCAGGTGCCCCTATACAACAGGCATGGAACTGGATGGACAGACAACTGATGATGTAGACAAGATTTTCCTCCTTTCTCTGGTGCTGACCCACCTTTCTCTGGTGACCAGTGAGAGGAACTGAGGGAAAAGCACGAAGCTGTGTCAGCAGCTGCATGGGCTGGATATTAGGAAAAGGTTTTTCACCCAGAGGGTGGTTGGGCACTGTAACAGGCTTCCCAGGGTCACAGCACCAAGACTGACACAACTCAAGAGGCATTTGGGCAATGCTCTCAGGCACCATGGTGTGATTCTTGGGGCTGTCCTGTGCAGGGCTAAGAGTTGGACTTGATGATCCTTGTGGGTCACTTCAGACTCAGGATATTAGGAAGAAATTCTTTACAGAAAGGGTGATCAGGCATTGGAATGGGCTGCCCAGGGAAGTGGTGGATTCTCCATCCCTGGAGGGTTTTAAGATGAGACTGGATGTGGCATCAGTGCCATGGTCTGGTAACCACGGCAGGGTTGGATCAAGGGTTGGACTTGATGATCTCGGAAGTCCCTTCCAACCCAGTTAACTCTATGATTCTATGATGATTCTACGACAAATATAAGTTTAAAAACAGAAGAAACATTTTGAACATTGATCAGAACAAGCAGCAAGTTAACTTCCTGCTTTCAAGGTCTATTTTGAGAGGCTGGTGGTTGGTTGTTGGTCTTGCTACAAGACCATATTAGTCCACCTGCAGAAGAAGTACACTTAAACATGCAATGGCTGACCATGAAAGTTCAGCTGGGACACTGTTAGGCAGGCCACAAAGAAGTTGAGATGCAGGAGTTAAAATGAAAGAAGGCACAGGAAAAGGATGAAACTGGGCAGATTAGGCATTTCTCCTTAGCAACTGGACTCAACTGACAGGCTGAGTGCAGAGCAGGGGAATGACAGGTAACTTTTATGCAAGTTTGCATGTTTCACTTAGCTTATGATACAATAGGGCAATAAGTAACAGTATTTTGGGCTAAAAATGAGTAGGTTTTTTCAGCATGTAAGTCTCCCAAACATGCAATTACACGGCACCTGCAGAGACAGGGGAAACACTGCTTCCTCACCACTTGTCTCGTTTACCAGTTTGCCTCACATTTACAGTACCTGCTTTGCTACACGTCAGAGACAGAAAATGTTCCTGTACTTGCTCAGAGGTACACCTGTCTGATTAAACATCCCTCTTAGTGCAACAATGTATGGCAGAACAATGGCTGTACAACACAACACAACAGGGGAAAGGACAATTAAATGCCTTTGGTCAAGCATGCCACAAAGGGCACACATTCCATTTTTTTCTGAGATGCATCCTTAAGAATTTTGGCACTTCATAACAAGCAAGTCTCCTATAGCATTTGAAAGGCAGATTTCAGAAACTAGGTCAATGCTCAGCAATGTGCTATTTGTATCTTAAACACAAGGATGGTTTTAATTATCAAGCAAATGCACACCACTATATCAGCAGAAACAAAAAAATGGGTTGCTTCCCTTTTCTCCACTTTTGAAGTAAATTTCCCACCTGCTCCATGAGTCATGACCCACAGATCTCCATGTGCTATATTAATGTATGTGCATTTCTTGAGCAGTAACTTAAACGTATCGTGAAGCTTGAGTCAAGACTCTGTAAGGAACTGAGCCTTGAGATTCTCAAAACCAAAGAGAATATTCAGTTTTTCTACCTGAAACATTTTGAACTGTCATATCTTATTCAAATACATGTTCGGAAACCAAGGCAAATAACTTTGGCTACATATGGATGCAGCTAGCATTTTAAAGGATTGCATGGTATACAAGCAACAGGAGAGGATCACAGCTTCCCATGCTGGTCTCTCACAGTTCATCTCCCACAGCTCTGCTTCACTAGGATTGTGATGAAGTTGCACTTATTAGTTCAAAATGGCAATGGTCACACTTTAATATTTGCATGCCATCCAGGGTTCAGTCTGGCATTCAGGTTTTGTGCAATGACAACGCCTAATGTGAGATTTTTTTTTTTTTCCCCTCAATCCCTTGGCTTCCCCAAAGCCAAATATTAACATCTGAGCATATTAACGTGAGTTTACTCACTCTGGGATTCTCCTGGTCACTGTAATACCAGCACATCCTTTAGTAGTAACTGGGCTTTTTTTCACATAATGGTAAGATCACTGTCATTTCTATACATTCATTAACTTAATTTGAATGCCACCATACAAGGATTTTTCTCACAATTCTAACCATATGCCTGGTTAATTTTACCTTCATGCAGGCAGACTTTCTCCCAACAGCACTGAACTCAGAAACATACTCTAAAGGTACTTAGAGTATATGAAACCCAAGAACATTTCCCAAGAATTTTTCTGTTTTTCTTACACCTGCTTTGAAATGTTCTTTCATCCAACTGTTCGCTGTGTAGTTTTTCACACAACGACCATTTCAAATTCCACTTAAAAAGAAAAAGTATTTACACTACAAGTGCATCCCTTCACTCTTTAAAGATTCACTCTAAAAATTAACAAGAACCATTAAAGCTGAAATCCTTGATAAAATTAAGGCAGTGGAGGACTGAATTTCACTTCGAACTTTTTAACAGATTCCTTCTCCTATCATAATCTAGCCACACCCATAGGTGGGCCTTCAGCCATATAGAAGTCAGGACATTTACAGATTTCCACTAAAAAGTTATTTACTCTAGGATGACAGTTTACACCCTCATCACCCTTCTCTTCTCCTCCTCTTCAATTCAAACAAATACAAGCTCTTTTCAAGGATAGATCTGATCTTAAGGACAGGAAAATACCAGTACAACAGTAGTTTAGAACAGACTTTTTTCTGTCCACAACAAGGCAGGATGTTAATTAATTCTTACCAAGTTTGGTCAAATAGCACTAATTTAAAAAGCCATAAGAAAACCAGAAAATGTGAACAATGTAGTTAATTATATTAAAACAAAGCAATGCCAATATCATACTTACAGGCTGAGGCTGTTCTGCAATACAGCAGTTGAAACACAACCAAAACTCACTCATTGTTTACAGTCTGAAGTGGGAATGCAGATGAAATGCAGGACTCAACCTTCCTAAGCCTGTCTGCAGATAGCAAGTTCTTCAAACAGGTTTATTTATAATGGCTCCAATGTGAAAATCTTTTTTTTCTGTTGAGCTCTTTCTCCAAAGACAAGTCAGTCCCAGGACAAACAACTTGAAGGCAAAAGGTTATTTTAGTCTTCTTTCAGAAGGTTGATCCCAGCACCACAGAAATGTTATGTATGCTTCTTTGGTCCCTAGCGTTATGTGAACCTGAAAAGAGAAGTACATTACATCAAAAAGAGAGAATATACAGAACCTCAAGCTCCCAGCCAGCCACCCACGGCATCAATTTGTTGGTAATATCCTGAATCACAGACTGAAGTCATGTGCTTATTTCTGCAGTGACTACCAAAAATGGCATATACCATAAAATCCATATGAGGCCTACATTCCAGCTTTGGTTAGATGAAGTGACAGTAAGAACTGGCATCCAATCTTTTGGCAGTCATCTTGGTTTTGATTGGTTTTTAACTTTCAAATGTCATTTCAGAAAGTGATAATTTGCCCACACACCCCTTTAAACTTCTTAGGGAAATGTGCCTCTTGACATCATATTTCTCAATGGAAAAGTTACTCAGTCCATTCACAGTGTGAGGTTTAAATAGTATATAACCTCAACCCTGTCACACAATTGTCAGTCCAAGGGATGCTTTCCTAAATGTTGAGGAAACAAATAAAATTTATGTACATGAAAAATTTGCAAAATGGCTGGACTTGGTCTACACAATGTATTCTCCTTCCACTCTCTTCTACCCTATGCTTCACGTACAACTGACTTCAAAACAGGACATTGTAGAGTTTGAAACTGTTTCCTAAAAGCTCTAAAATTCCTCCAGTGGAACAAATGAGGCTCCAGATTCCAACCATTCCTTTGCTAAAATACTGTTTATTGATAAATCTCCATTCCAGTTTCTTTCAGTAGGAGCGCAATAAAAATTCCTGTGAGATTTCATTTATCTTGAAATTTATCATAAACTTGACTTTAAGAGAAAGCAAGATAACAAGTACTCTGAAGTTTTTACATCCATACTCCTTAATAATTCTATATACGACTGTATCTTCACTCGTACAAACACTTGCACAGCTATGTATCATTACTTCAGTGCAATTCCTCACAGTATGAAGTGGTTTGGAGACTCCATGGGATGCATAAAACTACACACACACACACATATACATAAATATACACACACATTCTGTGTCAGAGCAGTTCCACTTTGATACCACCTTCATCAGCTCTCTATACGACTGAAAATATGATGAACTTTAAACAGCAAGACCTGGACTAACAAAGGAAACCTTGACAAAAAAATACTCTATTGTTCTCTGCAGTACTGGCATTTGCATGCTACACAAATTTCTTTTCTAAATTTCATTCAGTATGTAACAAAATCAGAATTCAAACACGGTTAACTCCTGTTAGCGTGTAACGTTTGACAGTTCTAGTTCAGTAACTGTACAGCTTATGCCTTCTTAAAATGTGGTTGGTTTACTTCTGAGAAGATAGGCTCCAAGTTCTGAAACACAGGAATGACTCCTCACTTTAGATTAAAAGCTGCTGAATAACAAAGCCAACCTAGAGATTGTGAATAATAGTCTCTGATAACATGTTCATTCTTAAAAACATATTTTATCTTCTCTTGCCTGGTATGGTGCTATATTTGCCTTTAGTTTCATGGTTCTTTTTCAGGATTTCAACACTTGAACAACGCTTTTTCAATCTGCTGTCTTTTAATTAAAAAAACATGGTTGACATATCACTAAGTCTGGAGAAAACTAACATTAAAAGCACCTCTTAAAAGGCAAACAAATACTTAGCAGGATTTGTTAGAGCTCCATAATTTCGTACTCCACCCCGGTCTGTTAAACATGATTTTTTTACAGTGCCAAAATTAACATAAAATATAAGGCATAAATCTGCTGCACCGAAAAGGAAAGAAAAAAACAATCTGAAAAGAAAAAGGTGTATCGGCGCTGCGATGTCAATGGTGACATATTAGGAACTTGTCTTACGCTGCTAGTTTCCTGTTTAAAGAACAAGTTGAAACAGGAAAATTCTGCTGTTCTTTTCCAAATTATTGGTTATAAAGAAAGAAAATAAAAAGCACCACACTGACCTACAGCTACTAGTCAGGTAATTACGTAGCATCAGCACACTAGCAATCTCGTGGGAAAGTGTTCCTCCAAAGCCTGAACTGCACCTCAAACCTGGCTGCAGTTTATGAGGTCCCAAAACCCGTGCAATATTTTACAGCTAGTTCCCTGCTTTGTCATAGGATTAAGATTTGAATCATAGAACCACAGAATGGTCTGGGCTGGAAGGGACTTTAAAGATCAGAGGCTGAAGAACACAGTTCATGACCACAGCTCTGCCACCCTTTGTGTTTGCTCTTTACACAGTTTATGGTGCTCAGAGCTGCAGAACACTGTAGAGCTCATGTGGAAAAGATAAGGCACTTACTCTGTCTGAACCGGTAAGTTTATCAAGTGATGAGTGGTGAAACACCTATTTGCTTTTCCCACGTAAACCTTCTGAACTCTGAGTGCAATTTATTTTAGAGTGTGTGATTCACATTGCAAGAACATGCAGGACTATCATGCTGAACAACTTTGTTCAGCATCTTAAGGCTTTTATATCTTATTTATTATTTCAGTCTCATACCCTTTACAGACATTCTAAGTAGTATGGAGAAATTAAGATACTAAAAAAATAATACATTGTTTAATATTTAGAGTGAAAACCAGTAAGGTAATTTTCATTACTCTAAGGTTTATTCCACGGTGACTGGTTTACTGCAAAACCCAAAACCATGGCTGATTGTAAAGTACCAGTCATAAAGGCAGCACGTGCAAACACAGCATTAACGAATAGTTGGGGCAGAGCACATTCTGTTACAGTTTCACCCATTTTTCTTACTAAAGCAGTATTAACTTCTCTGTGGGAAATATACAGAGCAGGAAAGGTAAACAAAGAAATCAATTTTTCCCCCAAGCTCTTTATGTTTACTGATAAAAAGCAGGTTAGGCAGCATTTACCTGAGCTGATCCATACAGGAATATGCTGTATGCAGTGGAGGGTCAGTTAAAATAAAGCTACTTATTAATTACATAGCTTAAGAACAGCTGCTGTTTTTTTTTTAAAAAAAACATCTATATAGTTCCTTTTAAGGGTGAACCCTCTATGTCCTCTGACTGCACACTATTCACTGTGGCTTCAAACAGGAAGTGCAGTAACAACACTCTTTGACAACTACTTGAAGCAAATAAAACCACAGGAAGAGAGAAAAAAAATGACAGCAGGTGTTAGTGTCTGAATTTAGTTAGATTTGCTTCAAAGCTCAGACTACTGCTTAAGGAGAAGGGGAGGGGAGGGAAGGTAAAAAAGAAAACAACAAAAAAAAACAAAAACCCAAACTGTGAACAAAAAATCATAACTAAGTATGCCATGTCATGACACAACATGATGACATATACATGATAATGTCCACATGTATGCACAGTCACAATCAGACCTATTAGCATTTTAGTTTCAAGTACTTTATAAGAAAGAAATTTACAGTTATTCTTAATATTCTTCATATTGGAGATTAATTCACTAAAATACATGGTTGCTCTCCACTGGGGTTTTTTTTGCCCTAAAGGTTTTAAAAAGCTATAATTAGTTTCAATCCTGCAAGCTGTAGGTAGAAAAACTATCATTTCTGAGCGTATTTTTAAGACTTCATGTTTTTCACTTTAAACCTCTGTTGTAGCCACACATTTTCCTCTTGATGATGACTACATAAAGTCAAGTGGCAGCCAGAAGTGAGGAGGAAAGAGGATTAAGGTGTGTCCAAACCAACAGAGGGGTTGCAGTGGTGCACACTTCCATACACTTACAGCTGTAGCAACTGGAGGATGATCTCCAGCTCTCAAAGGAAGTGAGAAGTGTTTATTCCCTTGCCAGTCTCACGTTTTTAAATAAAACAACTTAGAAGAAGCAAGAGGTTTTAAACAAACACAACCTATGGGGAAAGTTGCCTTCAAGCATGAATTTTGTATCAGAAACTATCTCCTCACCGGGGCACTGCACTTACAGAAACACTCTTCCTCCCTTCACTGCTACCAGAACAGGCACTTCTGGGGACTCTGGCACTCATATTAATGCACCAATTATCTTTTGCACTTTCAGGTCCTGAGAAACCTGAGCTGCAAGTAACTCTTGCCAGACAAAAGAGGGACAACATTCACCATCAACACAGGCCAAATAAGGCTGAAATCCCTTCTCCATTTCCTCTTAATTCTCCCATATCGATTCTGTCCCAACCCCCAGCCAAGTGCTTTAGGGTTTATAGTTTAAGGACATCTAAGAAACTTCTTCAACGTTTGAGTTAGACTTTCTTGTACGTTTTCAAGTCCTGACTCTGTGAAGAGGTTATTTTATCCACGTCTTTATAATATAGTTTTGCACATTATGAGTAAAGTCATTTATAAGATTTTATTACAGGGTTTTACTTTGGGATTACTGGTCATTTGGAATCAGTTCTTATTTTTTGTCCCTATTTATACTGAAATGGTTTGCATTAGTATATTTTCAACACAGAAACAAGGTTGTACTTCAAATCAAGCTCAACACAAATTAATAGCTGTAAACGACTACTACTACATAAACGACTACAGTACTTTTCTTCTGAGTTAAAAGTTTGAAAGAGTGATGAAAATGAGGGAATAGGATACAGGCACTATTATGGAATACTTAAAGAGATAGATGGGTTGATTTTTTTTTTTTTAAATGTTGTTGTCGATAATAGAATGGAGTCTGGCTTTACAAACAATCTCATCTTTCACTGGAACCAGAACACCTCCAGCTTTTGTGTTTTCAATTTTTAGGAAGCCAGCACAAGTTTCCCTGCAAAAAAATGTACCCAACTAGGCTAATACATGGGAGTGCAGCAAAAGATACAGGAAGGAAACCACAGTAAGTTTGTAAGGAGAAATACTAGGCCTTTCCTATCAGGTCACTGATAGCATATTATATTTAAAAAAAAAAAATAAATTCCCATTAGTCGAGGTTCTAATTGGTCAATAACATTTTCTTCTTAAGTGGCAATCCCTATTGAGGGTAACACAAAAGAATGCTTTTCTCAGCTCTCCTCCTTGCTAATTCTAACTGGTAATATCAGTCAGAGAGGAAAAAATTCCCAGGGCAAAGTAAAGGTTCAAGGCAGGCT